GCTTTAATTTTTCCATTCGGACTGAATCTCAGAAGAATAATTTTTAATGATATTGGTACATCATCAGGAACATTATATTATTTAGCCAATGCACTATTAAGTATTTCGCCAAGTAATTTGTTTGCATTTTTTACCTTTATCCATGCATTACTTATTTCTATTTATGTATTTATATACAGGAGGCCAGTGATTTCCAGATTATCTCGTATTTTAAAAATGAGTTGTTCTGCTATTATGGTCATAATAATCCTTATCAGGTCAATATCCACATTTATTCTTTCACATTATTATATGAACAAGTTCAGAAGTGGAAGGCTGTTCAATGATAATTATCCAAATCTTAACTCATTTTTGGCAGATTTTAATATTAAAATGAAGGCGAACCACTCTTTTTATATTAGAATGGCTCTTGCTAGTAGCTCCCAGTATCTATTTTTATTTGTTACTATGGTGTTTATTTCAAGCTACTCACTTGACATTCACCAACTACACTTATCCTCTATTAATGCTTTCAAATCTACAGAGGAGTCTGAATCCTACTCTTTAATAAAAAGAGGGGGGGATTTTGTATCTAACAATGACGAAAAAGACAGTATTCTATACTAGCTTAGATTTCATTTTCATCAGAGAATTATATATTATATACTAATATTAGTATCCCAGCTTGCTGTCCCGCCTAATCTGTATATAGCTTTCTATATTTATTAAACCTTCTAGAGTTTACTATGTGGCTCTTGTGAGAGAAATTATGATTATTCTTTACTAGTTTGCTCTTAATATGTGGGATAAGTTCTTTTTTTAGTTGGTTTTAATGTTTTATTTGAATGAGCTGGAAGAATTGATATCAATTAGCAGATTGCATGCACACATTCTGGCGCCAGAAAAAAATGAGAAACATAGAAAAAAAGGCAAGGTAATTTTCCAAACATTCAGACGAAGCAATCAGACTTCAGAATAGAAAAGAAGAATATTAAAACAAAAAGTATTAGAGAATAAGAGAAGATTCTTGTAAAAATGAAAATTTAACCCTTAATAATATATTAAAAAATATGGCGCCAATATATTTTAGTAGTCATTAATGATCCTGACAGTATCTCCAGAGATAATGTCACCAAAGCCAATAAGTCTCCAGTGCTTATCAACTCTCCTGGAAATAGCGAGCTTATCTCCTACGCTACAGCAAACAGGAGATGAAAGTTGGAAGGTAGCAAGGTCGTCTCTAATCTTTGTGACCCTTCCTCCTGTAGTCGTGGATCCAATGTTAACCATAAGAAGCTCACCTTCTCTAAGTTTAGACACTTTAGCTTGTGCTTTAGAGCCATCATGGGCGCGCACTCCTAGAAGTCTTCTCATACGATATAAAGTAATATTAATAGAGTCGTATATTTCTGGCAAGAAGCCAGGATGTCCAAGAACTTGTCCAGATAGTCTGTTGGCTCTTGTCAAAGTTGGATCAATTTTTGTTCCGACTCCAATTAGTCCGCCTGAAACTGCGTATTTCAAATCATTATGCTCAGCAAAGAGACTGACAATCTTGGATCTAATCGGTCTGCAAGTAAATTCTCCATCAGCATCCTTATTATAGATGCCAGGTCTGACCTCAATTTCGTCTCCAATCTTGAGAACTCCTTTAATAATTGATCCTCCTGCAACTCCGCCTCTCATATTTTGAGCATCTTCTCCTGGTTTGTTTACATCAAAGGATCTGATAATAATCATTCTGGGTGATGATGTAAAATCTCTAATAGGAATGGGAATTTGTGTACAAATATATTCACAGAGAACGTCAATGTTAAACTTTAAGACTGCGGAAATAGGTATTATTGGAGCATCTTGTGCAGAAGTACCGGCAACAAAGTCCTTAATTTGTTTATATTGTTCTTGCGCCTGAGCTTCTTTAATTAATTCGACTTTATTCTGAAGAATAATAATATGCTTGAGCTTCATGATCTCTACGGCTGCAAGGTGCTCAGAAGTTTGTGGTTGTGGGCATGTCTCATTACCGGCTACCAATAGGAGTGCTGCATCCATAACAGCTGCTCCGTTTAACATGGTAGACATAAGAATATCGTGGCCAGGACAGTCCACAAAAGATACATGACGGAGAAGCTGCATCTTATGATTACACGATGGAACTTCACACATTGGTTCATCTTCCTTATTTGATCCATAGCTACGATAGCATTTAGGAGGTGGACAATTTGGGTTAGTACACTTATATATCTTTGCATTTGCATATCCTAATTTAATAGTAATATTTCTCTCTTTTTCGTCCTTGAATCTAACAGTCTGAACTCCAGAAACTGCCCTAACAACTGTAGATTTTCCATGAGCAACATGCCCAATTGTACCTAAATTTATTGTTGCTTGACGAGAAATTACTTCTGGAGTAATTGGAGTTAACTTGGTCAAGTCCAAATTATCTGCATCTTGCTTAGATAAATGATCACTAGACATCTTGATAAATTCTATGTCCACAAACAACTTCTTTTAATAAATAATGCGTATTTTCTATAATATGACTCTGTGCCTAGTCACTAAAAATTCTGTTCATTAAGTGTGATTAAACAAGAACCTTTAATAGACCAAAACCTCGTTCTAAAATTCTCAGTATTCTAATTTTTACCTCCTATTGGCTTTGCTTTTCAAGCCTTTTACTTGTTTCTAAATCCAGAGATAATTTTACTTAAAATGGGTATTTTATGTTCGCTTTCCCCGTTTTACCATTGCCATTTCATAATTATTCAAAAAAAAAAATTCAAACATTTCCCGCCCACTGGTTCTTCTGTCTCGTTACCATTTTTGGCGCCACCTGGCGTTGAAATTGTTAAATCAAGTCTTAGTTTCTTTTTTTTTTTTTTTTAATTGGAGTAAAATTGAGGAAATTCAGCATTGTTATTTCAAATAATCCAGTTAAATACATTATTCATAGAACCACACAGGCATTTCCTAAATTAATTTATATTATTTTATCATAGTTTTATACAATCCTTGTAATATAGTTTTAAGTACAGTGAATACTTATGGTGTGAGAGTCTTAATCATTCTCGATTTAAACTCTGATTAATTATTCTCGCACTTTTATCCTCTTGAATGATAGCATTTTGTTTAATTGAAACTAATTGAACAACTGGATAACGCCTTTTTTTTCCTAAATTCATAGTTTATATTTAGGATAGCCAAATATACAACTATTACCATATTTTTACTTCTTTTTCCGCGAATGAAATGATTTGAAACTAACTAATAATGAGAATGTAAGGAAATAATGTTGCTAGAATTTTTAGCATGGCTATTATTCTACGAGATCTCCTTAAAAATTGGAGCTGAACTTGTTCAATTTACAAAGCATGTAAATTAAAAATTAACGTAAAGCTTAAGAAGAGTCATAAAGTGAATATAAGGCTTATTTTTTCAATTATAAAAAATTATAAAATAATAATTCAAGATAATTGAGTAAGTTTACTCTATATTCAATCATTTATTTTTTAATATAATACTAATAGCAATATCTACTTGCCGTGAAAAAAAAACCTTGGTGGTATTCTCCAAAAACAAAAAAAAACTCAAAGGACCTGAAATAACTAATATAAAAGTATACCAACAATCTGTCTTTCGATTGCTCATGTTATTCATAAGCATTTTCAAAAATAATGCCAAATTTGTGCATATTCATAACTATTTAAAAAAAAACCCGCCTAAATTGTGTTCTCTATTTATTAGTATTAGTGCAAAAAAATAAAGTAACAAATATAAATCAACATGTGTATTAAAACGAGGGGAAATTGTGATTTTTTTCTATGCAAAAATTTTAGAAATAATATTCACAATTGGGAATTAATTATTTAGTTAGTAATTTATTAATGTTTGGGAATAACACAAAAAAGAATAACTTTGCTCCCCTTGTTGTAAATTAAGAGTGCAAATGAAACCACCAGCTTAAAATCTTAAAAAACCAGGATGAAATATATATACGTTATTTCCTCTCTAATTTCATATATTATTGTAATAAATGCCTTTGCTTTACGAAAAAAAGAAGGTTTAGATTTGGGCTTGAAAAAAAATCTCATCCAAAGTAGAAATTCCTATAACTTTGAATGCGATGTAGCAATTGAATGTATGAATATATTAAGGTGTTATTACTTTTTTGTGGCAATTGTTTATGAGATTATTTCAACATCAAACTGTGTTTCAAGATCTTCTGACATTGAATTTAGAATACATCTTTCAAAGAACCTTTCTGAATTGAATTACTACAGGAACTACTTTGCTGAGCATATAATGGATAAAGGAAGAAGTGCCTCTCTATTTGAAGTTATTCACGAATTCCCAAAAAGAAAGGCATCATTTTTGAATGTATGCTCTCAAATTAAATTTATCGATGCAAAAGAGCTTTATCTCATAGAGCAAAGAGTTATTTCGAATTATCTGAAAGTTTTAATGGAATTGAAAACATACATTAGTGCTGATATTAGTAATTTTTTCGGCTCTCCTTTTCTAATTAATCAAGGAAGGGAAGTAATTAAAATTATAAATATGGCTATTGATATAATATTAATTACTCAACATAAGATTCAAGAATTAGAGAGAAGTTCAAATAAACCTACAAGCATTTACAAGTTGTCCAAGGTCCCTCAGAAACTACTGGTTACAAAGATTTACAAAAGAAACCTTATTGTTCGTATATCTCACATAGTCAAGTTGAGAAAGTATATTAGAGCTGATAAGAGCGACTTATTAACTATATTAGAAGACCTTGAACGTAACAATGAAATGCCCCCAAAGTATTAATGTTCAACAATTTTTTCTTAACAAGTTTCACCCTGAATCTCTTCAAAAAGCTAAATATATTGTGTGTATATTCAAAATGTTGCTTGGTTAGAAAATAATTTTATGTAATAATTTATAATATAATCATTCAAGAAAGAGAAAAAAAAACATTCGTTTTTGTCAAACAATGACTAACTTTTAATGCCAACAATAACCGAAATGAAGAGTTATTTTATTACATATTTATTAGTAAACTAAACAATAAAACTGTAACTAGAAACGCATTTTCCGATCAAGAATTCATATGATTGATTACCTGCAAATTTATCCGTAGTTCCGTTTCTTGTATATTAAGTATTTTCTTTGTTGTTTCCTGTGGTTATTTGTTTTACCCCTCACTCCCGCCCTATATTTCATTAGTGCATGTTTGAATATTCTGACTTGGCCTTTGGCGCCAAATATTGTTTTTGTTTAAAATAGCATTCCAAATTAAAATCTTACAGATATAATTTAAGAACATAATTTATGCGCTATATGCTATGAGATCATCATAACTATTTAAGTACATAAATCAAAGGTTAAATAAAGGTACTTTAAATTTTTTTTTTTTTTTTTCTCCCACAAACACAACCCAAACAATTAATCACAAAATAACTTGTATAAATGTTTAGAGTTTAAAATGTACTGATACAATTTACTTTGATTTCAAAGTATTTTTGTTCTTCAATACGCAATTATAAGAAAGAAGAAAAAATCTTCTAACTCAACTCTAATTTTTTTCCTGCGAACTTAGCATATATATTTCAAAGATATGCATTATCGCTAAATTTTATGCAAAAATCTCTTTAAGAATTCACTTGATATTCTCTCGGAGTGAATGCTTACACTTAATAGTTATGATAACTATTCAGAAACAAAACAAAAAAAAATCAACAAAATACAACAAAACAATGCGAAAACAACAAATAAAAAACGTAATAATCACCATATAAACTTGCACTCTTCCACAAAAATATTTCTCGTGTGCTTTGTTTACATAAATATATAGCTTTGCGCATTTTCATATAGTGCACAATCTGTAGATTTCTGTTCTGGTAAAGCATACATGGCGCCACATTGTAGCGCATTTTTGCCAATTCTGAAATTCCACTTAATTAACTCTCAAAGAACTTCAAAAGATTTATTGATAACTTCATGGACATCATCCTCTAACACATTACCTTGCACAAATGCAATACTATCCGCAGTTTTAAAGTCTCCAAGACTTTCTTACACAGGAAAACTGATACTTTAGGGTCAACAAGAGAAAACAGTCATTTTTGTTGGAAAGAAACAGAACCAAATATTTACATATATCCAATCAATATGAATCCTTAGAACATAAGTATTAGTATAATTGTTTCTTTATTATTTTCTTATTTACATTAAGAACACATTTAAACTTGAAACAAAAATTAGGGAAATTACTTACAAAATTAACCTACAAAATAACACAAATGAAAAATAGCTCAACGATATAAAATCAGTTTCTGAGATTATTTGATAAAGCAAAAACTTATATTTTTGAAATTCTCTGCATGTGTTCTCGCTTACGTGTGTGTTAGAGTGTGTATATGGATATTTTTTATTTGTCAATGCTCGAAAATTAGTAAAAAAAAATTTACTAGTAAGCAATTAGAAAAATTTTAAAATTGTCAACTTTTTTTTTTTCAATGCTAAACTTCCATTCTCACACTATCTTATTAGTGCCAACCTCATTAATATATTAAAGAACCAATACTTTCTCAGATTTAATCAGGATTTTCTCCAATGCTAATTTTAGTTATTCACACTATAATAAAGCTTGCATACATTAATTTTTCTTTAAACAAAATTATTAAAAAAGAAGAAAATAACGAATTAAATATATATATATATGTATATTTTTTAGAAAAGAAAAAACCCTAAATCATGTTTTGAAATAAAGTGATAATTCTTGCACTCAATTAAGTATTTAGAATAATTCAAACTATATTAAACAATTAAAATATAAGTTTCAAATCCTTCACTATCATTAGGTATTATATACAATACTAACTTATTTCTTAGAAAAGTTATAAATTTCAATTATAACATTAAATACATACTTTTGTTGTTTTTATAGGAAAATTAAGCAGTAATTAAAACTCTAAATTATTTACTGATTTCAGTAAAAATATTGAGCTAATCAATGAAAATCTCACTAACCAATTTGGTTCAATCTTATATTTATCAAATGAAGAAATGCAAAAATAAATTGTAATAATAAAAGTATCTAATAGTAATTGATTTATGAAAATTAAATATTTAAAGTTAAAAATAATCGAACTCTCATGTATCATAATTTATTTATTGATCAATTACAGATTAATAAATTTCTCACAAAGATATTTCAAGATAAAAAGCTGTAAAAGTGTTGAATCTGTAATTTCCACTTAATATATAGAGTTCTTTGGATCTCTATAAAACTAAATGTATTAAATTAATTATTTAATTGAGTTCCAATCCAATATTGACTTAATAGAATAGCTGAGAACCTAGAAAGGAATTTTTTTCATGAATCCAGTAATTAAAGGTACATCAAAAGTTAATTTGGTCAATAACCAATTCATAAATAGAGAAAAAGTAGATAATAAAATTATTAAAAATTTCTCAAAGATTATTTGGATTCCAAAGGTTGATTAGTCTTGAAATGAAAATCTGCACATCTTTAAATGTATTGCTTAAGTTTATAACAAAAAAAACTATAGCTCACTTTAACAAGTCTAAATATTAAATCTTTAATAGAGCTTGCCATTCAAAAAAAAAAAAAAGTTAATTTTGTAATAAATGTGTATTTTGTGTAATTTTTGTATTTGAATAAGATTTTACCTCAAATTATAGCAATATTCTTCTTTTATGGCAAAAAAAACAACCTATATTTCACATATTTTACTAAATACTGTCAATAATTGATACGAGCGCTAAGCTTCCACTAAATTCTGAAATGCAAAAAGATTAAAAGTCAACAATGCACATACCCGCCAAATCATTCTGATCAAAAATTTTTAGATTAAAAAATTTTTTTTAATGGTAGAGTAATACAATGAACCAGATTTTGCTCAAGTATACATCAGTATTTTTTTTATTGATTGCTTTTTTTGATCAATTAGTTGAATTGAATGATTTGACTGCTACTTTCAAAGATATTAGCTTTGTAAGGCTTAGTGCAGTATATTATGGTAATTTTCATGAAAAAATAGAAGTTCTGGAGACTGATATAGAAAATCCTCCACAATTAGATTTATCAGAAATGGCATATACTGAAGAAGTCGATATTATCTCACATAGCATGGCTGAATCACTTAGATCGATTTAAAATACCAGACTGTAAGCTTAATATCTTATATAAAGCTGTAAATACCCTTTTGCATAGCATGTTTTTATTTGAAAAACAAAAGTGTATACTTCAATTGCTTAAAACAAAATATAGAAAAAGAAAATGCGATTCATTGCCTAGAATAATTTCTGTTTCATTAAGTTGTCGTAGAATTATGAAACAAATTGAAAATTTGGAAAAATCATTGGAAAAATTAACTGAACAAATTAAAAAACTTGAGAGATATATTTTGAATTGTTTCCTATCTGCTATAAAAATGTTATGGAAGGAAGGGCGAGAACAATCCTTCGAAATAGATGAAGAAGCTGCAAAAGAATGTGACTATAAAGAATTGTACTTAATTTGGCAAGAACAACAACTTTTAAAGAAATATAAAACATTATTAAACTCATTTACTACTTCAAGCTTTGGGAAAAAAGCTTCAAGAAGTTCAAATACTTCATGCTTTTGTAGAAAAACCCAAAGTGCAAAGTGCAAAAAATATGCATTTAAAAGGTTTCTCTTAACATTAGAAAAAGTTGAAGCAAAGATTAAAAGTTTGACTGTTGAATTTGTGAGTTGTGCTTCATATTTAACTCTCAATGGCATATCTAATAATGAAGCAGAACCAACAAATGAAAATAGGCCCGCCTCTTTAATTGGTTCATTGGGTGAGCTATTGAGTTAATTTCAATAGCAAATTTCAACAATATGTACATATGTGGGTAATTCTAAAAGGTTAAAATAGCTAATAAACTCTATATTATTATTTATATTAACTCATTTCATATTTTTTTATCTATATTCCATAGTATATGAAATTTCTACAAAAATTAATTCTGAGATCTAAATACCTTAGAATTCCCGCGCTCCAAAATTGAAAATAAAATCTAAAAAAAAATCAATTAAAAATTTATTTTGTTTGAATTTAAGTAAATGTGTTCATTTCTGTATTTTATACTTTTGTCTGTATTTTTCGTGTGGGATGCTTCCAATTACAGTGAGGAATACGGTTTTTCTTCAGAAATAATTTCATTCATCAAAATTAAAGAAGAGCATGAAAAAGAATTTCTGGTTACACCATTGGGAGCAAATTCAGCTATTATTGTGGATGCTGGAAGTGGAAGTAATGATAATGCAGTTCTAACTGTATTTGGTGATGCATTTTCTACTCAATTTGATGAAATTGGGTTATCAGACGAAGAAAAGAATGAGATGAGTCGTATATTCAGTAATGATTGTAACGCTGATGTAATGAGTTATTTAATCTCTGTTTTAAGTACATTATTTGTTTCTCTCAAACAATATGAATGTGAATTGAAGCTTTTGGAAAAGAGCTACAGAGCGTGCAGAGGATATGGAGGTTTAATGAGAAGAATTAAACGGTGCAATGAGGTCGAGGAAAAATACAGACAAAATAGGAGAGGTGGACGTGAAACTTTGAGTCAGATTAAAAAATTCGGTGAAAAGACTATACAGTGTGCTACTGCAATTTCTAGGGGTTTATGGCTTGCAGGTAAACATACGAATGTTGAAAATGTAGATTCCACTGTTGAATGTACGGAGCAGCAACTATTAAACGAGCAATGTAGTTTAACCACCTACAAAGTTTTTTATTCAGTTTTACTATCAGCTTTAATATCTGTCTCCGTATCATCTTCAAAATGCAAAGAAAAAAGAAAATGTAGGAAGGTGAGCAGGAAGTGCAAGTGTATTTTTTCAACTGCTGATCAAATAGAAGAACTTATAAATGAATTGGAGAAAAAAATTACTGATAAAAATGCTTTCATCCGCAGTTGTACAAAACACTTAATAAATACAAGTGGATCTGTCAATACCAATCAGGTTAGAGCTCCATCAGAGGAGATAGATGGCGGGCTTAAAGAAATTACGCAAGTTAGTCAATTACTAACAGGAACTTTCTAATTCTTGCTTAAATTTTATTTTCCAAGCAAAAATCCGAACTATCAAAGACGGTTGGCGCCTTGTATTTGTGTGATTAATTTTGTTTTTAAATTTAACCAAGTAAAAATAATAGCTTTGGGGAATTATGGAAATAAAACTTTAACTGTATTAAATTTGATGACTATTTTAGTTTGTTTAGTTATTCATTTTAAGTAGTGAAGTAAATATTAGATTTTCTGATCGAAAATTAGACTTTTGAGTTACTTTGAATACGGGAATTTGAATATGAGTTCTCTTTTATGAATGAATTTTCTTTTCTGAAATATTAAATATGTTTCCTCATCTAGTTGGTTTGTTTTTTTGTTCATTACATCCTTTAAGAAGATTAAAGCTTTATCAACTAACAATTTAATTCTGCATGTGGTTGGTTCTACTTTGGTTATGAAAGAATATTGGATTAACAATTTTGTTGAATCTAATAAACAAAAAATCTTGAAATTTTTAAATAGTGTTGCAAGCTTCAAAGCTGTGTGTGGAAATTATAAATATTTAATAATTTCTGAGATATGTAAATAACATAAGAAAATGTAGTAGCTTTATTAATACCTATGAGATTGCTCTCCAAAAAACTTATTCTTTGTAATTCTAGGTTTTCAGATTTCATTTTAAATTACTATTAGTTCTTTGAAGTTATTTTAATGGAGTTTAAAAAGATTATTTGCTTTAAATACCATTTATTTTTTGAATTTTATATAATATGTTTGAAAAAAAAACTTATCTAGACTTGAATATGCTTATTCCATTATTTTTTTTATTATCTTATTATATGTTTTCGAAGTTAAAACGGAATTTAAGACCAATTTATAACTATTAAGAAGATTTGATTTCAACAAATAACTTGTAATAAATCATGTGAGCTCT